ACGGGGGTCGCCAAGCAAGGCTGTCTGCCATTTTTTTTGTCCGCCATTTTTCCCCCTTTTCCGGCGGGTGCCTTACCTCCCTTGGGCTGGGCCAGCTGGTGGTCGGCCTGCTCCGTCTCTGCCGCTTGCCAGCTACGCCTCGGCCGGCGCAGGGGGCGGAACCACGCATGCGCGGCGCTCCCAGGCAGGGAAAGTCCTCGACTTATGACTGGTTGGGTAGTCCTCGACTTACGACCGGTTTAGTCTTCGACTTACGACCGGTTTAGTCCTCGACTTACAACCGGTTGGGGTTGCGGCATTAAAAAGGTTGAGAACCACTGCCGTATCCGGATTGTGCAATCTGCCTTAGACGGGCCGGCCGCAGATTGGGTGGTGAACTTGCACGACTCCAATGCCCCAGAGCTCAACGACTTCAACCGTTTTATGTCCTCCCTGAGAAGACGATTTGAGGACCCCCTGGCTGATCGCAAAGCCCGAGAAAGGATAAAGACAATGAGGCAAGGCAAACGCCTGGTAGCCGAATATACGCAAGAATTCCGGGCCATTGCCAGCAAACTGAACTCGCCAGAAGACATCCTCCTTAGCCATTTCAAAGACGGACTAAATTATGACCTATATGATGCTTGCCTGCCCCAAGGGGACCCACACCAACTTGAGGAATGGTACGTCTTGGCAGAGGAAGCAGAAATCAACATACTGAAGAGGCACCACCGAGGAAAACAATGGAGCCGCTCACCGCCTGAGCTGACACGCCAACCAGTGAAACCATTGGCCACGGCCAAGAAGCAACCGGGGTGTTTCAAGTGCGGGAAAGAAGGGCACCAAGCTGTAGAATGTCGCTCAAGAGCCACCCAACACAACCCAAACAGATCACCGGCCAGTAACTCCGGAAAGTCTCAAGCTAAGCCAAAGGAACCTGCCATGAGAATGATGGAAGCTGTGGAATCCCCCACCTCTGCTCAGCAGGAGGAAAGAACCCCAGCCTACACCGCAGGGCCGGTGGACGCCTCAGACGACAGCTCGGAGGGCGAACCCCTGGTGAGTGGACGCATCGCACCCATCCTCAAGACAGTGACTATATTCAACCCCCCCATGGCCGAAGCCGTGAGGGTGAGAGCATTAATAGACTCTGGCTGCACCCGCTGCCTCATTAGCACAACGCTAGTGGGGAATCTGGGCATTCCGTCGAGGAGACTGGAACAACCAATCTCATTTGGCCAGTTAGATGGGTCCATAGCAGGGGGGTGCCCGCTATCCAAGCCACTTTACCAATACACCTCTCCCTGGGCAAACATGAGGAGGACATAACGTTTGTGGTGACCCCAGGAATGGAATGCCCAATGATCTTAGGGATGGAATGGTTACAAAAATGGAACCCCTGGGTGAATTGGAGGACGGCAGAAATCAAATTCCCGAAGGGGGACCCTATGGACTTAAAATTCCAAGGGGGGCCACCAGAATCAAGAACAGAAAAAGCATCCATGGGAGAGGAAAAGGGACTACCAGAAATACCAGAGGAATACAGAGACCTTGCTGAAGTTTTCAGTGAGGAGAGGGCGGATGAGCTCCCCCCCCCGACCGACTGTGCCATTGAATTCAAACCTGGGGCAAAACTCCCGAAGCCCAGATTATACTCCATGAGCCCAAAGGAGAAGGAGGAAATGGAAAGATTCATAAAGAAAAACCTAGAAAGGGGGTTCATTGAGCCAGCCAAGCCTAAAGTGGCTGCCCCGGTCCTCTTTAGGGAAAAGAAGGACAGCTCTTTACGGTTATGCGTGGATTATAGGGCCCTGAATACAATCAGTGAAAGCAATCTATACCCTCTGCCCCTCATGAAAGACATGTTGTCACACCTCTCGAAAGGGAATTTTTTTTTCTAAACTAGACCTAAGGGAAGCTTACTATCGCGTGAGAATCAAGGAAGGGGATGAATGGAAGACCGCATTTAACTGCCCCATGGGGTGCTACCAATTCAAAGTCTTGCCATTTGGATTACAAGGGGCCCCCGCAGTATTTATGCAATTAATCAATGACGTTCTAAGGG